GTTTTTGATGGACAAGTCCAAAGCTCCAGGACCAGATGGTTTTACAATGGCTTTTTACCAAGATTGTTGGGAGGTGATAAAAGATGATCTTTGTGAGGTTTTTAATGAGTTCGCAGAGAAGCATATAGTCAGTCGAAGCATTAATTCCACATTCTTGGCCCTAGTTCCAAAGAAAGTTGATGCTCTCCATCCTAAAGATTTTAGGGCAATTAGTTTGGTGACTAGTATTTATAAAATTCTGGCCAAGGTCTTGTCTTTAAGGATTAAAGAAATCCTCCCCTCCATTATTAGTCAGGCTCAAGGGACTTTCACCCAAGGGCGTCAAATAATTGATTAGATTCTGATTGCCAATGAATGTGTGGAAGAGATGAAGAGGTCCAACCAGAGAGGCTTTGTTTGTAAGCTTGATCTGGAGAAAGCCTATGATTTGGTGGACTAGCAGTTCCTACTAGAGGTTTTGAGGAAGTGTGGGTTTGGAGAAAGATGGTGTAGTTGGATGACTGGTTGTGTTAGCTCTTGTCACTATTCCATCCTAGTAAACGGGGTGGTGAGGGATTTTTTTCCAGCTAGTAGGGGAATCAGACAAGGGGACCCAATTTCACCCTTCCTCTTTACCTTGGTAGCTGATGTGTTTAGTCGAATTATCACTAAGGTTGATAGGGAAAATGTGATAAGGGGTTGAAGAGTAGGCACAAACCGAATTCCAGTCACTCACCTTCAGTTTGCAGATGACTTGATGATCTTCTGTGAGGGAGGTTTCGGTGAGAAGGTGGAAAATTTGAAAGAATTGATTACAGTTTTTGAAGGAGTCTCTAATTTGAAAATCAATCCAGGAAAAAGCTGCATAACAGGAGTAAATTTAGTTTTTGAGGAGGTTGAGGCGATTGCAGGCTGTATTGAGTGCTCCATTTCCTCCTAGCCTTTGTCTTACTTAGGGCTTCCGTTGGGAGCAAACCCTAGGGAGAGTAGGTTCTTCTGGACCCCAGTCTTGGAGAAGTTAGAAAAGAGACTAGCTGTTTGGAAGAAAATTTGTATCTCTTTGGGTGGGAGGATCACTTTGATATAAGCTACCCTCATGAATGTAGTACCTATTATCTCTCTGTCTTTAGGATATCGTCTAGGGAAGCGAAGAAGTTGGAAAAATTGATGAGAGATTTTCTGTGGGAACCGGGAGAAGGTAAAAAAGACCATTTAATTAAGTGGAGGTTGTGGGTAGAAGCAAAGAGGAGGGAGGATTAGGGCTTGGGAATGTGCTTAAAAAGAACTCAGCTTTGTTAGGGAAGTGATTGTGGAGATGGCCTTTGGAGCGGGATAGACTCTGGCACGAAGTAGTGAAGAGTATTCATGGATGTTCAGAGAGTGGTTGGGATGCTGGTGCATCAAGGAGGGCTAACCTAGCCACACCTTGGAAAGCAATTCACAAAGTTCTTCCGCAGTTCCTTAGCTGTGTCAGGTAAGATGCTTGTTCAAGTAATTTTATTCGGTTTTGGGAGGACATTTGGGTTGGAGATCTCCCTCTGAAAGACCTTTTTCCTTCATTGTACACGGTTTCCTTGTATAAAAATGAGGTGATCTTAAAATTCCTTCCGTCGAATTTATCCTTGCCAACTTTGCCTTGGGATTTTGGTTTTTGTAGAGGATTAAGGGATGAGGAAATTGTGTGTTTGTCTACTCTTCTATGTCTCCTTAATAAGGTTTGGTTGGATCCCTCGAAACCTGATAAAAGGATTTGGGCCATTCACCCCAAAGGGTCTTTTTCTTGTGGTTCCTTTTTCAAGTTCCTC